CCGGTGAGCCTCGGTAATGGGGACCCTGGTAATGGAGTTCCCGGTAATGGGGACCCCTGTGAGCCCCAGTAAATGGGGATCCTGGTAAATGGGGATCCCGGTGAGCCTCGATAATGGGGATCCTGGTTATGGGGATCCCTGTGAGCCCCAGTAAATGGGGATCCCAGTAAATGGGGATCCTGGTAATGGGGATCCCGGTAATGGGGACCCCGGTGTGCCCTGGTAATGGGGATCCCAATGTGCCCCATAAAGGGGATCCCGGTGTGTCTGTAATGGGGATCCCGGTAATGGGGATCCCGGTGTGTCTGTAATGGGGATCCCGGTAATGGGGATCCCGGTGTGTCTGTAACGGGGATCCCGGCGTGTCCGTTCCAAGTGGGCCTGGCACAGTGCACCCCATTAACCGAGGCTCCCAGTGCTCCCAGTTTGGACGGATGCTGGCACCCCATTAACTGGGGGCTCTCGGGTCACCTGGCCTGGGTGGGGATTGGCACAGTGCACCCAGGGGCTCCTGGTTTTGGGGTGACACTGGCACGGGCACCCCGTGAGTGGGGCCTCCCAGTCCTCCCAGTTCAGGGGGATGACAGCTCCCAAACCTCCCAGTGCACTCAGACTGGCGGGCAGAGCTGGAATGGTGCCCCCATATTGGGACAGCCGGGTTTCCCTCTTTGCTCTCTGTATTTCATAGTTTATTTCTCACTATTCCTTCCCCGACGAGATTTATTTTTGTTAAAATTGGCACTTTGCTGTTTAAAAAAGATAAGTTAGTGTTGAGCCGGGGAGAGAGCGAGCAGGGGGAGTGGAGAAAGTGAGCAGAAATTTGGGGAGTTGGATTCGAGGTAGGGAGCAGGGATTCGAGGAGGGAATGGGGATTTGGGAAGGAAAAGGGATTTGAGAAGTGAAAAGGGATTTGGGGACTCGAGTAGAGATTCAAGGCAGGGGGAACAGCGAGTTGAGGGAAGAAGGAGCAAGAGAGGGAGATGGGATTTGAGGAGGAGAATAGGATTCGAGGTAGGGAGAAGGGGTTCGAGGAAGGGAACAGGGATTTCAGGGAGGGAGCAGAGATTCCCTGAGACCTGGAGGAGCACGGAAAAGGGATTTGGGGATGCAAGTAGAGATTCAAGGCGGGGGGAGCAGCGATTTGAGGGAAAAAGGAGCAGGAACTCAAGAGAGGGAGATGGGATTTGAGGAGGAGAATAGGATTTGAGGTAGGGAGAAGGGGTTCGAGGAAGGGAACAGGGATTTCAGGGAGGGAGCAGAGATTCCCTGAGACCTGGAGGAGCCGGCGGCACGAACTGGGGCAGGGAGAAAGTACAGCCAAGCTCTCAGCACATGGTTACAAAAACCCAGCGCTGCCGAGCGAGCCCGGGTTCATCCGGGGCTGCCGCGGGGCCGCATTGTGCTGAGGAGCCCCGGGGAAGGAAAGAGAGACAAGGGAACAGCTGGAAACAGCTGGAAACAGCTGGAGCCGAGCGGGGGGGTTCGGGCAGCTGCCGCCCTGCTCCATCCTGCCAGGATGCGGGACGCGGGGACACGGGCGGGCTGCGGGATGGGGGGACATCAGCGCTGGCAGCTGCTCCAGGGAACGTTGTAGGATTTTATGGAATGCTGGCGGGGTGCTTGGGCGGAAAGTCCCGTCTGCCCTGCAGCGAGGGAAGGGCTGGGGCCGCCCGGTTTGGCGAGGAGGCTCCGTGTGGGATTTGCAGGCGGGATGGATGGAATTGGACTCGGCGCGGCAGTGCCACGCTGGGGACACCCCGAGGCCACCGCGGCAGGAGAAGCCACAGCCGTGCTTGGGGGACTTTGCCAGGGCAACAATCCCGTCCCCTCCCGCCTTGCCTCGGTGCTGGCACCGCGGGTGACTGTCCCTGGCAGAGCCACGGGAAGGTCAGGGGCGGGATAAAACTATTCCTGGAGCAGAGCTGCTGGGCTCCGCGGGAGGGGATTGTCTCCTCTGAGCTTTAATTCCCATCCCGGATGGCCGCGGGGTCACTGGGTGCCCTCCTGGCCCTCCAAGGGGGATCTCGGTAGCCGCGGTGGCCACCGCGGGGGTTGTGCTTGGCAAAGGGCTCCGGGTGCTGCTCCGCACGGGAGATGCTGCGAGGTGACAGATGCTGCTGTCAGCAAGAATCCAGAAAAAAAATATATATATATTAAAAAAGGAAGGAAGAAAGAGAGAAAGAGCGAGGAGAAAGCCAAGGGGAAGCCGCCTCCTCCGCCGTGTCCCGACCAAACCGGGTTCTCCTGTAGTGCCAGACTGCTGCGGGCCCCGGGACAAACGGGTGGAAGCCAGGAGCTGTAATTAGCCCAGAGCCTCTGCAGCCACCAACCGCTGTCAGTGCTCCTTTCTAATTAGGAAAAACAAGGAAAAAAAAAAATAAAATTCCCAAAAGAGGCTTTTCTTTTTCTCTCTTTTGCCGGAGTTTTTGCCGGTGCTGCCGGGAGCAGCCGGAGGGCACCGGCTAATCCTGCCTCGCAGGTCTGGGCTGCCGGCTTAGGGCTGGAATCTCTGGTATTCGGGAGCACGGGGACAACAGCGCTCGCAGCTCTGGGGCCTCTTGCTCCGCGGGTCATTCTCGGGGGGTTGGGAGACGTTTTTCCTTGGATTTTCCCCTCTCCGTGTGTGCGTGCGGCTCTGCCCGTCCCTCCCCGCTCACCACCGGGCACCTGGGACGAGTTCAACAAGGATGAAGGCAAACGCGGCCCAGCCCCTGCCTGGAGCTGGCGGGGACAATTTGGGGCGGGTGCCGAGCCCCGATCCCAGCCCTGATCCCACTCTCCCAAATCCCTACGTGGTGGTTTTGCAGGGAGAAGGGCACAGGTGGGCTGGGAACATCTCCACGGCCTCATCCCAAATTTCTTCAGCGATGCTCCCAGGTGGAACCCCCCCCCACGAACAAGGAGGTGGCTCCAGAGCGGTTCCAGAGCCCCCCAGCGCTGCCCACGGAGGTGAAACCGGTCGGGATTGCATCCCGGGAGAGCCGGCCGGGCTGGGAAAATCCAGCCCCACGAGTCCAGAGCCGTGGGAAAGCGCCGGGGCCGTGGGGCACCGGGGCCGGTGACTCAGCCCCGGCTGCTCCAGGATTGACTCCACAGCTCCTGGGCTTCATCCCGGTTTTCCAGCGGGCTCCACTTTTCCCACCGCGGGTGCTGCGGGTCTCTGCTATTTTTTTCCCCCCATCCCAGTGAGCATCACGCCGAATTTTGGGAGGTGCTGGCGGGCTGCAGATGCCATCCCCCCCCAGCCCAGCCCCGCACGGCCGCTCCCGGCTCGTCCCCGCTCAGATAAGAGCGAGCACGGGGCCGGGGATCAACGGTCTCGGGCACAGCGGAGCCGTCACTACACATTAACCAGCTGTCCGATGGAGCAACGCGTCCTCGGAGCCAAGATCAACAGTCCCCAAAGCAAACTGGGAGCGGGGCCAGGCGCAGCGAGCGCGGCCGGAGCCTCTCAGCGAGCCCCCCGTTCCCGAGGGGCTCCCCCGGGCTTCGCACCCCCGGGCTGGGCTCGCCTTTGGCTCTGCGAGCCGGGCTGGAGCCTCGCCCTGCGGGCGTGGGCGGGTGATGAGCATCCCCAGGGTGTCCCGGCGGCTCCCAGGGATGGGGTTTCAAGGGAAGAGGGTTTGGGATGAGCTGCTGGGTGTTTTAGGGTGTCCCAAGGACACCCGGAGGGACCCTCGGTATCTCCCCCCACCTCTCGCCAGCAGGATGCCGCTTCCCGGTGTGCCAACCTGTCCTGGGGGCACCCGCAGGGACCCCTGCCCCCGACCCCCCTCCAAAACCAGCGCCGGGGGCTGCTGCGATGGGGAATGCCAAAAAGCATCGCACGAACCCCACGGAGCTGCTGGTGGGGTGTGCAGGAACCTGGGGGGGGGTTCTGCGGGTCCGGGGGGG